CTAATTTATTGAAACTAACCTGGAAAAATAAATATGAAAGTCAATTAAAATATAAAACAGGAGATAAAGTTCTTTATTTGGTGCCTTTAAGTGTATTTATTTAATAGTTCATTTATATAATTCTGCTTTTATTTCTAATTATGTCAGTTTTGGTCCTCCGTACAGTAGAAGCCTGATAATCATATATTCAAATGAGGTGTGTTGGAGCACAGAAACAAGTACTACGTGCAGAGCTGCGGCCCTCCAGGACCAGGATTGCCCACCCCTGCTTTAGATCAATTTGTTTTTGCTGAATGTGTCTATTATATGTTTTGTCCTTTGAGCTGCTTTTAAATAAAGTTGAAGTAAACAGACCTGCAGCTCAGTAAATGGGAGTTAAATGTGCTGCTATATTTCTGATTTCTGCAGAAAAACAAAAAACAAAAAACCTCCCAGTTTACAGTTTGGTGAACAACAGAGGATCACTAACGTCTCTTGAGCGCCAAATTGAATCAACATCCGGCTGTGATGAAAACACGCGTCTCACCCCGGAAGCAGCTGAGCGGCTCAGCCAATCACAGAGGAGTTTCAGCACAGTCATATCTGTTTAGAACCTGTATAAGAAAGGCCTACACCTCCCCTGCTCAACATTGACCTGTGAAGAGCAACAGAGACATGCCTGAACCCGCTAAGTCTGCGCCCAAGAAGGGCTCAAAGAAAGCCGTGACCAAAACCGCCGGCAAAGGAGGCAAGAAGAAGAGGAAGACCAGGAAGGAGAGCTACGCTATCTACGTGTACAAGGTGCTGAAGCAGGTCCACCCGGATACCGGTATCTCTTCCAAGGCCATGAGCATCATGAACTCGTTCGTCAACGACATCTTCGAGCGCATCGCCTCTGAGGCGTCCCGCCTGGCTCACTACAACAAGAGGTCCACCATCACCTCCAGGGAGATTCAGACCGCCGTGCGCCTCCTGCTGCCCGGTGAGCTGGCCAAGCATGCCGTGTCTGAGGGCACCAAGGCTGTCACCAAGTACACCAGCTCCAAGTAAACCTGCTCCTCAACTAACAAACACAAAGGCTCTTTTAAGAGCCACCCATCAAGTCTGTAAAGAGCTATATTCTACAAAACCTACTGTTCTGCCATATTTGTGAGTATTCAATATGCATAACTCCAGGTTGCCAGATCAAGGATTATCTCCATGAAAAAAAAAAAAAACTCACTAATGATTTTTATGTCTTCCACATTAGACAATCAAATCAGCCTAAGTTTCAACTTTATGCAGGGGTTTTAAAAAGTGAAATTTGAAAATCAAAAATGTAAGTCTTGAGCACCCAAATATTCATCCAAGGTTTTAAGTTATTTATTTTTACTCTTTCCTGAGAAGTGTTTACAGCATAAACAGTTGAACACTGTCATCAGGTTGACGTGATATTGTCTTCATAATGATGTAAATTTGCTATTGGTTTATGTATGTTTTAAACTACAAATCCTGTGATAACAGCAGGCAAAAATTGGCAGTTTATTACTGTGTTTTTGGAGAGATGAAGCTTCATGATGCACTGAAGCTTTCCATCCAACTGGTCCACATGAGTCAAAGCATGTCATGCTTCATTTGCTCTACTGCGCCATCAAGAGGACAATAAGTGTGACCTAGTTTATAATGACTTGTTTATGAACAGGGTTGCACATAAAGTTTTTGGTCTGATTCTGGGTTGTTGCTTGGTGCTGATTTTCCTTCACTCATTTGACGTTTATCTAGAGGGGTGTTGGGGCATCTTGCGTCCCCCTGTTCTGTTTTATGACTCCTATCAGCTGCAACGTCTCAGGACATCATGCCAAATCAGTCCACAAAGTTTTTTGTTTTATTCTTTTACTCTACATAATTTTTTTTAAACTACTTAAGTGGCTGAGGGGCTGTGTGTATGTCATATAAACTTCACAAACTGAACATTTCATGGTTAAATGTCTCTTAGACTATCATGTCCTTCAGATGGACAACTCCTGTAGTTTGGTCTTCTGCATCTTCAGCTGTCCACGCTCTCCAGTCCAAGCAGCAAATATCTGTCTTTCACACAGAGCAAAATAATTTAAAACATACAAATGTTTAATTGGTTAGACTGATTTCTTTTCTAAAAGACTATTTTATTCAAAAAGACATTATTCGCCCTAGGCCCTAGAAAGCAAATAAATAACATACATGTCAACTTGTATGGATTGTCTGTAAGTTATAAGGATTTTACGTCATTTTGCAGGTATACAGACGTATAGAGCAATCTCACGGATTTTTTCAAGCCTTACGGATATTTTAAAAACCTCATTTTCAAATTTATCTAACATGTCAGAGCCTGTAGAGTATGGGTAGAGTAGTTTATTTTTCCTGTAATACTTCATTATAGTTTTTTTAAGACAAACCGCTGAGCAGAGTTACAACCAGGGATTACAAATTATAACTTTTTTTTCTTCTGCAGTTTGGTGCCCCCTCCAACAGATGGCGCTCTAGGCGACCGCCTAGTTCGCCTATGCCAAGAGCCGGCTCTGGATATTCTTGTGCAATAAAACTCATTTTTATTCCCACAAACACCCAGAGATCATCAGTCTGAGAGCCCAAAGCGTGAAGCTTCTTCATCCCCAACTCTTCTGGGCTCATGCCTGCCGCACACATGGGAGTTTTAATAAGTTTTGTCGAAAATACATTTTTTAAAAGTTTATTCATTGCATTTCATTTAAAAACAAACCAAATTTTACAAACAAAAAATAAAAATCACTTTAACAAAACAACAACAATCCTCCTCAAACAAAAATGTGTATGAGTATACACGTTTCTTTTTCACATTTCTTCAACAAACTAATTTTAATCATGCTCCTAAACATAAACATAAACACACACGGCTGTAATTGTTGATTTTGGTCACTTGGTGGAGCCCAAAAACAAGAAAATTATGACGCTTCAGGGAAGCAGAACCCTCCCCTGTCCTCAAACACGTCCTCTGTTCTGACATAAAGACCAGTGAGTCTGAGTTCAGACATTCAGCAGCTGAAATCATCACTTCATCGCAACATGTCTGGAAGAGGAAAAGGAGGTAAAGGTTTGGGTAAAGGAGGCGCTAAGCGGCACCGTAAAGTCCTCCGTGATAACATCCAGGGAATCACCAAGCCCGCCATCCGCCGCCTGGCTCGCCGCGGGGGAGTGAAGCGCATCTCGGGTCTGATCTACGAGGAGACCCGCGGTGTGCTGAAGGTCTTCCTGGAGAACGTGATCCGTGACGCCGTCACCTACACCGAGCACGCCAAGAGGAAGACCGTCACCGCCATGGACGTGGTGTACGCTCTGAAGAGACAAGGCCGTACCCTGTACGGCTTCGGAGGTTAAAGAGCTGCTGATTACTGAACAAAAAGGTCCTTTTCAGGACCACACATCTCCTCTTTAATGAGCTGCTTTCCTGACAATCATAATCTTGCACATTAATACTGTAGCCTTAATAAAATAAATCAATTTGCATTTAGCAGACATGTCATCAACAAAACTTTAAACAGACATTTGAAAAGGTTATGCATGCAGGTTTGTGTCCACCCTGTCAATCATGCATGTTCAAAGTAACTACAGCACTACTGCATTTCACTAAAACTACTTATTTTTTCTACCTGTAACTTGTATTAAAAAAGCAAAGCCAGACCATTTCATCAGAGGTGTCAAAAGTATTCCTGTTTATTACTTAAAGTGTAACTTACCCCCCTGTGAAAAGATAACTCCGCCCCAAGGCGAAATTTGAAAAATGCATCAAAGTGGGTAGGGGAGGGGGTGTGGGTGGAGGAAGGGGGGTTAGAGACCGGTGTGTGTGTATATATATATATA